CCCCAAAACCCCAAAACCCCAAAACCCCAAAACCCCTAATTTCATTTAAAACATTGAATTTAAACTTTTACCAATTTTCACAAATTTAGTATCTTCTGTATCTCCTATCTATTACTAGCCAGCATTACCTTGACCTAGAGGTAGATTTTTCACTGTCATGATAGTCTTGTAAATACCTTCTGTATTCTATAATGTCAGACTGAGTGAATTTACTTCGAAAGCCTCTCCTATTGCTCTCAAGGCTCTCATTATACAAATGTCTTCTATAGTAATAATCAGAATAGCTGCCATTTTTTCTTACCTTCTTTCACGACTTCGAAGCCTATATTCACTGCTTTCATTTCTTCTTCGCTGATATTTTGAGCAATTGCTAGTTTTCTTTATTTCTGAGATGCCTAGTATTTCCTAAATAATTGGTAAACATCTGGTAGAATTGGTCTACTGATAACTTTGTGCCAATTAAGAATTAGTACAAGAAGAAACTTACCTTAATTTCATCAGTCGAGACAATCTTCACATTTCAGAGATCTCATGGACAAAACAATATGAACTGATCCTTGTATCTGTGCTTAATGGTCTTATCCTTCAGGCATTGGTTGTGTATGTAGTGACCACATGGTGATAACTTTATCATCACTTTAGGGTCTTCCACCTTCGTGCATACTGCTCATACCTTTTTGTCAATGTAGTTCTGAATTCTATACGGCCAATGGTTTAGTGAAAATTAGTAGAAACTTACCAACTAGTACTTGATGTCTCGCTGGTTTGCTCTCTGATATCTTTGCTTTGTAGGTTTTCTTGCTGAATCTTATCTACAGGTTCTTGAAGGTTTGGCTTCAGAGATTTTTCTTGAACTTCTTGCTGATTTTTGCAAACTTGTTGGGCGCTTGTCTCCTCGTTCTGTTTTGAGTTTGGAAGAGAATCCTTAGGAATGTCAATTACTGAGATATCATCTATCAGCTGAGGCTCATCAGGTTCTTTCTGAATCTCATCTGGCATCGATGTATCTTTTCACTTACTAATTTCTAGCAATCTTGGTTTTCACTTGTTGGACTTCTGACTCTTCTGCTTTACAGTCTGCTTCTTCAAATTCTCCTGATTTAAGCTCCTTCTGAAGTTAATTAATTCATTGAATGTCCTCTTAGAATTTGGCCCGGTCAGTTTCTTCTTGGCATAGTCTGGACATAGCTTGTTAAATTTTTCAGAAAAGCCATTTCTGTCAATCTTCTTCGGGCTTTCTTTCTGAATATATTGTGGCTCAGCAGACTGAGTAGGAAGCCGGTTAACCTGATTAACCTTGATCTCTTCAAGGTCATTCTTACTCTGACTCATTGGCCTAAGTTTGGTGATGTGTAGTTCGATGGTTATGTCTGAGATGAATCGTCTTGATCGTAGTTCCATGAGTTGCTATTCTCACTCTGGAATCTTGACTTTCTTGAGTAAGGATATTTTTGAAGAAGATCATAATCTAACTCTATATTTCTTGAGAAGCCGATATTGAACTTCTTCTGCAGCAAAGGGATCTGTCTCTTCAGGATGAACCCTCTAGTCAAGCGACCTCTCTCATTCTCACCGAAGTTCTTCAGCATAAGAGATAAAACCCTTCCTGAAATTTGAATGTCTTCCTTACCACAGATAAAGCCAGCAAGGAAGAGTTCTTCTGGGATTAGACAAGGAGATGTCTTCTTAAGGAGATCAAAGGTAGTCCACATCTGTACCTTCAGTTTGGAATATTCTTCTTCTGAGTAGTTTTTGTTTGAATACTTTCTATTCATTGTTACTAATTTATTCAATTATTATTGATAAAATGGGGTTTTGGGGTTTTGGGGTTTTGGGGTTTTGGGGTTTTGGGGTTTTGGGG